ATGTACTCCCAATCACTCCCACTTGGCTCCTTCTTTAAGTGGCAGCGATAAATAAATCATTAATAAATCCAAGCAATTCCATCTATGGTTTGTTTAGCATTATATATGAACTAGGAAGTCTGTCTTGTTTCTCTCCTAACAAGCCAAAGATAAGAATGTGCCAAATAGCATTCTGAAGTGCATTCTGACTGGTGGTCTTTGACTTCGGAGAAACTGTTGACATAGTATTAATTTCTTTATCTTGCATTTGTTTTATTTTGGAAAGCTTTTTTCTTGCACCCTCCTGATGGGATAAGTGGAATGATTAAAGGGAAGACAAAGCACATCATCAGTTATGTTAGCAGTAGCGTTAAGGCTGCTGAGAAAAATGGTGAGTTTAGGCATTTAAATGGGATTTATCAACGTCTTGCAATATTGTATGTGATGAATCACTTTTGTTGTGTTTCACTGACAATAAGATGTGCAGATAAGCAACAAGTATTAAACATCTAATCTTCTAAATGTTAAGTTTTCCCCATTCTAATTTTTTGTTTGCTACTAAATTTTCAGTTACACTTTTTGTGGATTTCCTCATTCAAATAATGGCTCCGTGTAAAAATATTGCAAATTCCTCATTACTGGCTTCTCCTTAAACATATTAGTAATCTGGTGGTGAGATAATAACTTGTTTATAATACTACTTATTCATGTTATTCCAATGGAACTTGACTCAATTCATTTTAGGAAATATTATAAATGTCAGGATCAATTAGGAAAAAATTGTTCCCATCATAATGGTTTTGGTTGTAGTTTTTGTGGTTGTTAGGTTCCTAAAATAAAATAGAAAAAATTGAGAAGGGTAATGAAAATAATAACAATAAAAATCTTCCCAGTCAAAAAAGGAAGAGTATTAAGACACATAGGCAAACTCATTTTTTATTTTAATATCAAACATTTTAATTTGATACCTGGAGATTAGAAGGGTAAGAGCTAAATGGGAGGGGACCTAAACAATTAGTGCACCATTTCCAACATTTAGATTAAATGCTGGATTCTTAAAGTATGATTTGGGAAACAAATATTTCTGTAGAGTCACTGTCTGTTAGCACAGTTAATGAGTTAAATAGAGTATTGGTCCAACTACATATAAGGCAACTTCCTATGACAAGGCAACATTTCCTATAGTGGGAAAACGAACCACCACAGTATACTGTGGAACTGCAGCAAGAGCTTCCTCACAAAACTGGAAACAGGGAAAAGGGGGAAAATGTATTTTTCCATTTGCAAACAAAACCAAAGATGAAAGAATATCTGTAACATTTGAGGTGGGACCCCTTTGGTAAATTAAGGACTGCCGGTAGCTAATTTGGGATTAATTTGGTGGATTAACTTGGGGGTGTGGAAGCTCCCAAAGGAATCTCTGAAGGTTGGAATGTCTAATGGAAGCCTGACTCAAGCCCCACCTCTTACGTCCATGCGTTCAACTTATTGAATAGGGAGGTTCATTTGGAGCAAGAAAGTTTGTAAGATACTTGGTTCAAGGTGGCTTATAGGTCAGAATCAGCCCTTTGAGTGGAGTCGAGAAACTTCTTGGTGGCCAGCACAGATCCTTAAGAAGTGATGAGGTATATTTAAGTAGCAGTGTGGACAGTGTTCTGTTGCATACAGTATCATTATGTGAATTATGTGTGTTTCTGTATATGCATAATGGATTGTAGGATAGTAATCTACCTAACAGATAGCAATGGAACATTACTCCTATCCTGGTTAGATGACCTAAATAGCCAGTGGCATATTGGCAACCACATATTAGCTGTTTTCCATGGAACTGTTACTGTATACTCTATAAATGGAAAAAGTGAATTGCTTTTTTCTTACAACATAAAATCAGTATGGAATTCACCTGAAAGAGCATACATAATATCAAAAAACCTGTAAGGTCCATTAATTTACTGGAGAACAGATTATCATATTAGGAAGCACTATTTTTAAGGCTATGTAGTCCTTCTATTTTGATTCCAAAAAGTTGCTTCAGCAGCTACATGATTCCATGAAAAATGCAACTGCTTTAAAGAGTTGCAGACAAGTGCTAAACACCCCTGACTGTTCCAAAACACTTTTTTTAGAATAACATCTGAAGCATTGCAGAGTCATGCTATCCTGACCAAGATTAATTAACAGCAAATACGGTGAGGCTACTCTTCATTTCTGCTGAAAATGCTCAGAGCCCCACATAGTCTGGTCACCACATTATTTTAACAGTGATACTATTGTTGCTTCAGGTTTGGAGTCCTTCTGGTAATCACCTCTACTGATTAGCATATTGAACTAAATATGCTAAGGAAATGTCTGTTATGATTGGAGACAAATAGCTGGTTAATATGAAAACATTTTACAGGAACATCTGCATCAGAAAGCATGAGGCAAATCAGATAATGCAGTATATTTAATTAATATGCTTCAAAGACTGGGGGATTCTGCATTTGTGTCAGATATGGAGAACAATGTTGGATTTTTCTCTCTCTCTTTGGGATGAGTACAAAAATACCTAATGGTTAGTTTTATTGGCACCTGGGGAGTGACCCAATTGAAGTAGGAGGTAAAATTTTTGTCCCTCTCCAATTAGTTTGTAGGATATGAGCTCTTTGTGGAGTGAATCAGAAATTTGTATTATAGGATACATTGCACAGTAGGATGCTCTGAGTTGATCTTGCAGCATGATCTTATGTGCCTGCAGAATTACAGATCTGTCCAGTAGAACCATCCTGTTTGGGGGATGTTTCAGCTTCTCTAGGGGCTCCCCTCCCACAAGAAAATATTGCTTCCATCAGCCATATGAAATTCCCAAATGATATTCCAGACCTCCTACTGGGATAAAAGAAAGTATTTGTTTGCATACTTAGGGATCACATGGAAGGTGTGGACATTGTATAGTGCAGAATGAGCAACCTGCAGTGCCCACTCCATATTCAGACCTCTAGCTAATTTCACATCCCTTGGCCCAATTTCAAAAGCTTTCTGCAAGTTATCAGCTCAGACTTCTATTATGAGCTATATGTTTCTTCCCTACAGCCTTTGGCTTGGGAGAGAATGAAGAAACTGTCAGTTTGCTTCTAGCCCAAGCAACATGTCAAAACACCAGGTTGTTTCTAGCATGGATGGTTTATACCTAAACATTCATATGCTTGACAGGTTCACAACACAATAAAAAATTATTGGTTACTTAGCTGAAAATGTTTGAATTTGAAATAGGTTTAGCTTTACTAAACATGGCAGGATAGCTGGCTATCCTAAATTGTCAGGATGACCTAGGTAATTAGAATTATGCTTCACTCTCAGTGGAGTCAAAATGGAAAGTAATTTTGTTATGATGTGTATGAAAGATTAAATAGCAACTCTTATCACCCACCTCAGAAAAGTAATAAATATTGTATCTAATGAATAATGTATTTTAATTATTTTAGACATTACATCTTCTGTGTATCCTTGATTCAGTGAAAGGGTAACTGGGGAAGTTCATCTGCATATAACTTAAGACACAAGGAATAGAAAGTATATATTATCTTCCAGGTTTGTTGAATGTAATTACCTAATTATACTAGTATTGTTTTTCACTACTACTTGTCAATAGCTTTCATTTTTGAACTTTTAGAAGCCAACTGAAATTTTGTCCTCTTTTATGAGGTAGTCAGTCTTAATATTATAGAATTGAACAAATGTGCAAAGAAGTTTGTGAAATGTTGATGCAAGCATAGATGATACTATAAGCATTGATATGATGTGGGTAAAAATCAGCATTTCATTTGATATTTGCACATTTATGTGGAATCACTGAGAGATAATGTGTGTCTTTGACTACCCCATTGGAATCAGTCCATACATGACTGATTTTGGACTGATTCTACCTTGCTCTCCTATGAATACAAACAGTTTTAAATTAATCACACTTTAAACACATATAGGTAAATGTAAAACAGTTCAATGAGAGTAAATGTTAAAGAATGTGTTCCCATTAGACTTTTTATTTTTAAAGAGTTCTTCACAGATTTTTATTTTTTTTATAAAACTGCATTTTGGTTTTTTTTAATTTTATTTAGATTTTTATGTATTTAAAAGAAAGCAAAGACAAGAAAAATAATAGAGAAAAAGGGAAGAAATAAAAGCAATATAAAAACTATATCTAAACTTCTCATACATATACTGTATATTTGTATATGCAATTTACAGTTGTAATAAAGGATAACCATAGACTTTTAATGTAGCTATGCTTATTATTCATACTGATTATAATGCAGAGGCAGGCTTAAAGATAGTGGGTGTGTATGCCCCATTAGGTGGTAGCGACCAGAACTGTGCCCCCCAAACACTCCCTCAACCCAGCTGCCTTTGATGAGCTGGGACCTTGAAATTAACAAATACAAGACTCTCCATTGCATCTGTTTCCAGTTTACCTAATATAATTCCTGAAAGATTGAAAATATTGCTAAAAAGGGGATTGTGGGGAGTAAGGAAACAATATGTTAAGCCATAAATTTTAGTATTCAGAGGCCTTCTGAAAGTTCTTTAAAACAGAACCCTCCCTTTGTTCTGCTTCTCTGTGTTACTTTTAACATACTAAGACTGTTGTAGCAAGCTTACTTAGAAGTAAAATCTATTGCAACAAGACTTATTTCACAGTAACTAGATAAATTGAGACATATGATGAAAACACTTTTCTTCTTTTTATCAAAATATTCTAAAAATGGTAGCTGATTTGAATTACATATATTACTACATAGAAACTGACTTGTGGTAAATCACTTCTTGGGTTTTATATCATTAAGATAGAAATTCTAAATTGTTTATTATCAGTGGCTACATACATGAAGAGCTGTTAAGATATCTAAAAAGGCAACAAATATTTTTGGGTTTATATTCCATGTCATCTTTTTCAGCTTGTTTTTAATAAGCATATAAAATCACTATTTTCCATGAATATGACTTTTTCATCTTGTGTCCTCTCCTGTTCTCCTGCTTTCCAGTGTATACAATTCTCTCCAAGGTGCATTCTGATCGAAATGTATACCCTTCTGCTGGAGTTCTCTTTGTTCATGTTTTGGAGAGAGAGTATTTTAAGGGGGAATTTCCTCCTTATCCAAAGCTTGGTAAGAAATGTTTACAATTATAAATGCATATAAAAGTGATACAGCTTCCAGTTTAAGTTGTCTTTGTGGAGGAAAAGAGATAACAAAGTGATATGCACATGAAGCCTACATCTGTTTAATCAGATGTAAGCTCCAATGAATTAAATGCACCTGGGTCCCTAAATTTGTGCTAGGGCAGGGGAAGAGGAGCCACTGAACCCAAGAAATCTAATTTGGCCCTAAATAATACCATATTAACAAACCAAAATAAAACTGAAACTTGTCCCATTGGTTTCAGCATACCTAATTTATGCTACATCCTGCTCTGTTGTTGACATTTTATAAATGCTGTATTATTTAAGGCCAAAAGAGGCACAAATGCTGAATATGAGACTTGTCATGTCAGATTTTTTTAAATAGCAGTTGTGAGGAGAGCAGAAAAAGGAGAGGGCTAATCCTTCCAAAAGGTAACACCCCCATCATTTTCTCCACAAAGCTGCTAGCTAAGGGCTTCTGGCAGCGTCTGTGTGTGTGTGTGTGTGTGTGTGTGTGTGAGAGAGAGAGAGAGAGAGAGAGAGAGAGAGAGAGAGAGAAACTTTATTTCAGTCATTGACCAATAAAAGTACCTTTTATAAAACAAACAAAGCAAAATTATCCCCTCACATCAATAACTGTTAGCAACCATTTGTGGGTGAAGCTTACACATAATGTAGCAGAATTTTGCTACATTTAGGGAAATACATTTATCTTGGTTGTTTAACAGGTAATTTATGTAAAAGGGGGATAATATCCCTGTAGAACTGACAATACAAAAGAACATGGGCTGTGGTTTCTATGGCACCCGTGTCACTGGGGCAATAGAAAGGGAGGTGTGAAAAGATTAAATGTGCTAGAGTCTCAGTAAAAATGGCATTGTTAATTTTATATAAAAATAACCTCTCTCTTTCTCATAAGATTTATAACTGACACATTTAGCATCATGAATCTTCTGGCCTTTGGGCTAACAGCAAATGTCATGAATGTAGCATTAAAAGCCTGCTGTTTTTCTTGGGTATCATCTCTTTTCCAATTTGCATTTTTTTAAAAAACCAAAGTATCTTCACTGTTGTGAAACATATTATTATTCTGATTTCTATGAAATAAAATCAGACAATATAACAAAATTAACAGAACTTTCTTAACACATTTAATGCTTGTTTGTTATTTAGCTATAAAGGAACACAGCAAAGCCTTCACAGTTAATGAAACAACCTCATTTAAGCTGCAGTACCCACTTATTTAGGATTCAGCCCAATTGAATCCACTGATATTAGAATTTATGCAGGATTAGGAGTCATTGGTGGTTGCTGAAAATTACATTTTTAGGAAGACAAGATCACACAACTGTACTGTTGGCCAAAACTAAAAAAACTATGCCTATACTTTTTTGGTTTACTGTGAATTCATCACCATAATGAAAATAGGAACTAAATTATTGTGGATATAAATAGGAACTAACTAGTAGGAATTTACCATTGGCATGAGCATAAAAGTATGCTGTTCAGATGGTGGAACTGTATGTTAACATGGCTGTCTTATTTATCCAGGTGGGATAAACAATGATCCCATAACATTTAATACAAACCTAATGGGTTACCCTGATAGACCTGGCTGGTTGCGCTACATCCAAAGAACACCATATAGTGATGGTGTGCTATATGGATCACCAACTATAGAAAACATGGGCAAGCCAACTATCATTGAGGTATTTACCTTACAGAATGTTTATTTCAAAAATGCATTAGACATTTTGACACAAACATACTATCAGAGATAATGGTAATGGTCTAAACTTGCATCCCACTAAAAGGAAGGGACAGCATTAACAGCTGGAAATTACATTTGAGTACATATTCTATTGAAAATAATTGTTCTTAAATGCAGAAATACTGAGCTGTTTTCAATACTATCTGCTTTGATGCAAGAACCACAACACTGAAAGGGGACTTTTTCCAAGCAAGTGGATAAAGGATTGTATCTTAATATAATTTTTCATGTATTGGAGAGCAAATAAAAAGCATATTTCTCAATAGAAATTTTAAAAAATCATATCCTTAAAAACTGTCATCTTCTAGATACCATTAATACCTTTGTGTTGCTTATTAAAGGCCTTGCAAGATAAGTCCCTGAAATCTCTTTGCAAAAGTGGCTAGATAGATATATACAATGATTCTGGGATTCATTGTAGGTAGTCACTTTAACTGATATTGATGTACATCTTGGTGCTATATAATATTGGAATGCCCCTTAGTTCTCAAAGTTTCTTCAGTCATACTATAACTGAAAGGAGACTAGGACTAGCTCCCCCCCCCCGCCAACATAGCCTGTTTCTCTCGTTTTCTGTTCTTCAATAAAAAAACATCCCACAGATTTCTCATCACCTAATTCTGGCTCTTCTGAACATCTTCTGTTTTATATACATGTATGGCTGTATATCATACTGACCCCCCCGAACACTAAGAAGATTAAACAGAAAAACAAACTGCCTCTATTATTATATTTGCAGCAAATTTAAGAGAACTCTGATTATTGTTTACCTTTTTATCAATTAAGAAATGTAATAGAATTACTGTTTTACTTTTTTTTCCATTATTAGATCACTGCTTATAATAGGCGTACCTTCGAGACAGCAAGAAATAATTTGATTATTAATATAATGTCGGCAGAAGGTATGTCATCAGGAATTATCTCAGCATTTTGGGTGATACAGCTGATAAATAATGTGAAGCAGTTAAGTTGTTACTGAATAAAGACAGAAAAGCATTGAGAGAAAGATATCTGTCACTTTTTCTTGTCTAGTTAATTTCATTTAAACGGATGTTAGTAAGTTAGCTACTTTAAAGAGGACTGCTTCATAATCACACTGAAATATCGGCATTGTATTTGAACAGTATATTGTAACTTTTATTGTAAATTGCTTAGAATGCAGAATAGTACCTAGTTAGCTATATGCAGCTTCTGGTAATTCAAGTGACTAAAACAGATAAAAAGAACCCCATTGTCCAAATTTATGTGCACTTTAAGGCAATGTTAACTCAAAACATTTATGATGAGCGATTAAAGGATATTTTTTTCCAGTCCAGAAAAACTGACAGTGAATGGATTCCAGCTAGGATGCTTCAGAAATTGAGAGCTGGTAGACATGAACAGCTCACCAATATGTTGATGGAAAGAAAGGATGCTTAGCATATTCAAAGTATATAGGTCAGAGGCCTGAGAGGGCCTTCTGACACTCCCTAAGCATTTTTTTCTTTAAATACTCTTTCAGTTAAAACAAAAGGAGGAAATTGGGGTAGAAGGGAACATTATGGAGAGGAGGGGCTAGTGGAGATGGCAGAAGGCATTCTATAACATTATTCAATACTCCACATGCATATCTTGTCCAAAAAGGTTAGGTACCTCTTCTGTACTATATTACTAGCATAGCCATTTGATGGCAGAATGATCCCGTATTAGGACCACATATAATTACAAACCATGGTTTCACTATTCCTGAGCCTTCAGTTTATGCATCTGGATTCCCTTCCAAAGTTGAATACACTCTGGTTTCTTACATCCAAATTATGCAAATCATGGCCTATCTCTAAATAAAAATGATGTAGTGAGTTTTCAATATTGGATTGAAGCAAACTGAGTAAATCCAGAAGAAAATTGAAGTGACAGAGTAGAGAAAAAGAGCCTATACCCCAGAGGTGCCAGCAGGAATAATCAATCCATGTTTTCCCATTATGGGATGTAGACCTCCCAGTCTTGTAACCATGCTTAAAAGACTAGGCCTTTCTTGTGCATGTTTATATTTGATCATGCAGATAAAAGGACATAGTGCTGTATTTCTGACTTACTACTCCATCTCTTTCAGTAAATTTGAAAAGTGTTTAAGACACAATTACTTTTCTCTTTGCAATTAGATCTTCTTTTACCATATCAAGCAGAATTCTTCATTAAAAACATGAATGTAGAGGAAATGTTGGCAAGTGAGGTTCTCGGAGATTTCCTTGGAGCCGTGAAAAATGTGTGGCAGCCTGAGCGCCTGAATGCCATAAATATTACCTCAGCTCTTGATAGGGGAGGCAGAGTGCCCCTTCCTATTAATGACATGAAAGAAGGGTAAGATGTTATATTTCTGTTAGCAAGAGCAATTATTTATTGAACAGTTTAATATCCATTAAAATTGTATAGTGGAAAGATTTTTAAACAATTCAGTAAAAAGCTATAATGCATCTGGACTAACCTACAAGGAATTCCGGTTTCAGGAATCTAAACCATCTCTCTCTGCCAGAAGGAATGATTCTCCAAAGCTTGGGGATGCAGGAAGGAAGGACATGACGATTTTAGTCCGCTTCAGGATGATGCTCTGCCTTGGCGTGAAGCTTGACTCCAGAGTGAATGGGCAATTCAGGGAGGTTTTTAATTGTCCTGAGGCAAGACAAACATTTCTAACTCAGTCTGTCTCCAGTTCTCTGCAGAACCCTGTCTTCAGCCTGTAGTTTGGGAGCTCATTATGCTGGCAAAGACAGATCTGCTTGCCAAGAAAGAGTGAAAAAAAAAGTAGAATAATACCTAATATAATTTATTTTTGCAACTTCTTGGTGAGGAAGGGTGGGAAGGGAGATAACTGGTTTCAGAGATCAACAGTCCTGTCTTGTCCTTAAAACTGTACATTATTCAATTTAATATTCATTCTGTAGACCATAAGAATGTCCCCTTTATAAATAATATTAATCCCTATTCTTAAGTCAGAACTTCCAATCAGTTCCCCAATTGCAGCCTTGTGGATGGACAGCAGGAACATGGAATGTGGAGAGAGAAACAGACAAATGTCACTATAGTCATACTTCATTGCCCAAATTCTCTTTGGAGCGGTTCTTCTCTAATTGGGCTCTCTTGTGAGAACAGCTTGATATCTTTTTGATCCTCTTGCAGGTTCTTTTATTTAACCATCTTCTTTCTCTTCTCCCTTTTCTTCCACAGTAATCCAGAACTTAGTTATTTTGCTTCAAAGCAATATTTTTTCAATTGTATTAGATTTTACTTAATCCTCTTCATTTAATTAGCTCTTCCACAAATCATTCATTGATTTGTTTAGTTTTTTGTTAATTATTTGAAAATGCTGGAGTTGACTGTATCTGCCTTTTTCTTGTCTTTTGGCCTTGTAATCAGTATCCCATGTTACATTTATGCCCTACTGATACGAGAGTGTGTCTGCTGCATGTGTTAAGATGATAGGCAGTGGTCAGTCCAAATGCCTATGGGAAGCAAGGCATGTGTACATACATCTTTCTCAAAATGTTTTTCTGCAGTGCTTAAGGGCTGAAATTAAGGATTTGCTTTTAAAGCTAGCCACATGGGACTTTGTTAAAAATTTCAAACAACAGCTAAACTGTGATACGAGGCTTTTTTGCAATTTCATTCACAGTGTAAACATTCTCCTCTAAGAAAGTTGTTTCACATTTCTCCCCATGTTTTTTTTTCCTTGCATATCTAGGTTATCAGATGTGTATGAACCTCTAGTTGTTGGTGCAATTAATTATTTATTTTATTCATATTTTTAAAGAATATATTTTAATGGTTTGGAACAGAGATGGTTGATCTGGGCCTCTCCAGATGTTGTTGAACTGCAGCTCCTGGAATCTCTCACTCTGGGCCATGCTGGCTGAAATAGATGGGTCAGATTCTTGACTACCAAAAGTCCCTACCACTATTTGAGGGAGGGGGGTAGTTCAGTAATACATACTGTATTGTGATTATGGTGCTGGACTAAGATAGGAAAACACAGATTCAAGGCCATATGCCACTGTGGAAATGCGCTGGTTAGCTTTGGGTCACTCTTCTGAAGCCCGGTCTACCTCACAGAGTTGTTCTGAAGAAGAAATGCAAGGAAGTCCCCATGAAATCCATCTTGATTTTCATATATGAAAGGTGGGTTGTACAATAAAATTAAATAACAACAACAGATATTCCTCTTATTTCAAAGCCTGTTTTTCTCTCAATGTTAAAAATGGTGTCAGGAAGGCTGAAACAATTGGGAGATGGCATAGCGGGGGACTAGAATAAACACAAACCTTCAAATTTATGAGAAAAGGATAGATGTAGGAGAAAATGAGCCTTCCACTATGTCCTAAAATATGGAGTAATGTTAGCTCTACTTGATCTAAATAAAATCTCACCCATTTCTTAAGTAGGAAGGAAATAATAAAGCAAAAGAACAAAATATACTAGGAAGACAATAGAAAAATGTGAATATCTTTCCAGCTACACAGTGGCCCTGCCATGAGCACTTCAAATAATGCAGTAGAATTGGTCTCCTAAGGGCTTTTATATAATAGGTGAAATCCAGCATAATGCAATATAATTCCTTTTGTCTTCTTATGGCCCACTCCATGACTGCAAGGAAGAGGGCAATTTGTCTGCTTTCTGACTTCTGATTATGGAAGAAATTGATAATGAACAGACAAATGCAGCTGGATTTCAGTTTTTTTTATGCATTCCTTGCTTTTCTATCCTTCCTTGATAATTTCTGGTGTATGTCCTTTAAAGCTACTCACCAGTTTGGAGCTGCTGAAAACAGGCTGAGAAATAGGAACTTAATATGTTATTAACAAACCTCACACTTAAGTGAGTTAATGTTTTAATGCTTTTATTTTTGCAAGCAAGCAGAGTTTACATTTGATTCCTAAAGATACTGATTCTTTAGCAGAATATTTTTTTAAACAATGTTTTGATTTGAGTATGCTCTGTTTTCAATCTTAAGAAAATTTATATTTGCTTTCAGAAAGTGTTTTGGTGAAATTGCAAAGCATGTTTTTATTTAGTTTACTCCTTTTATGTACCTGCATTTGATAAAGCTACATTAAAGACAATATTTTATGCTATTATTATTAATCTTGTATGAATAACTTGCATTAGAAAACAGTGGTAAAAGTGCTAAGACTGGAAGTCCTTTTCATTTACAGAAAGGAATCCTGGGATCCAGTTGATTAATTTAAAGATTGTCAATGACCATCCTAAAACTGTTGCCATTTCTTTTCAGTGTCTATGTTATGGTTGGTGCAGATGTTACATTCTCCTCGTGCTTACGGGAAGTAGAAAACCCACAGAATCAGCTGAGATGCAGTCAAGAAATGGAACCTATAATAACTTGTGATAAAAAGTTTCGTACTCAGTTTCACATAGACTGGTGTAAAATCTCTTTGGTGAGTTATTGATTGGCAGTATTTTAGAAGACATAGCCATTTTATGTTTAAAATACCATTGGAGGGGTAGATTGTGCACATAAATTTTTGATCTGTGTGATGAACTTCATGGGGTGAACTTCTGTCACTTGCAGTGTTAAGCTCCCCCATGCCCTTGCTGGGACAATTTGTAGTGCTTGTCACCAGTATGCCTTTTGGTGACTGATGAAAATCTAGCTTATTGAAGAAAGCTAAACTGGTAATTTATTGTGCCTGTTAATTCTATGGTTATTCTGTCTTACTATACTATTTCATTATTTACATATTTGCTTTTAACCAGAGTTACTCTAGTAGAAGTAAAACAGATTTGAAATTTCTATAATACAGATAGTCCCCTTGCGAACTTTCGTGTTGCAAACTTTCACCAATACGAACAAGATGGACCCAGAAGTCAGAACCGGAAGCTGGGCCGGGAATCAGGAGAAGGGAAAGGGTTAGTTTGGAGTGTGCCGTAAACTAACCCTTTCCTGCCTTCTCCTGCCTTCCATTTGCACTGGACGTTTGCATTGGAGTTGGAGTTCCCAGAATGGGTTAGTTTACACGGCGTGCTCCATCACTGGGTGAGGCAGGAGAGGGGGCAGTGGCAGAGGACAGGGGAGTGGGGGAGAAAATCTCATCCCATTGGCTTTTCCCTTAGTCCAGGGAGCGACCGCCACCTCTCCTGTCTCACTCACCTGACGACGCATTGGCAGCAGAAGATAGGGCTCCTCTGCCCACACCACTGTCCTGGCTCCTGCTTCCTCCTCTTTCTTTTACTTTTTACTTGGTTGGATTTACAAACAAAACAGACTTATGAACAGCCTCTTGGAACGTAACCTGTTCGTAAGTAGGGGACTGTCTGTAAATGACTTTGATGACAGTATGTGAAAACAATCAGAGAAATAATTGTACATAGACACAGACATATGCATGTAGAGTGCGTAATTTCTTTTTTAAAAAATCCAGGGTTCATTCCTAGCATCTCCAGGAGAAATACAGTACTGTTGGTCAGGATCGACCAGCCTCCTTTAGCCCATGCTGTCAGGGGTGGAATATACACATTGATCAAAAGGAGTTGACACCTTAAATTGAAGCAGTGCTGCCATTGCATGTCATTCTAATGACTGTAAACCAGTTACCTAAGTCTGTAGAAGTTAAAATCCCTAAGCCCCTGCAAAGTCTCCCTTGACCGACTCCAGGCACTGCTTCCAATATGGTTGCCCTGAATCCCTGTGAAAACAATTCACCCATGTGTCATGTTTCCTAAAAAACTCTGACATAACTGGAGATGCATGCCAGGAATTATGGATCCTTATTTTTTGGCTTTTTTAGCCTGCAATATTCCAGGATGTAAAAGCTGGGAGTAAGTGTTCAGTTTGAGCAGGCAAAAGTGCTACTGTAGATACAGTGGGGCAAAAAAGTATTTAGTCAGCCACCAATTGTGCAAGTTCTCCCACTTAAAAAGATGAGAGAGGCCTGTAATTTTCATCATAGGTGGAGTGTGACTGTTTGAGGTTGTGGACAGGTGTCTTTTATACTGATAACAAGGTCAAACAGGTGCCATTACTACAGGTAACGAGTGGAGGACAGAGGAGCCTCTTAAAGAAGTAGTTACAGGTCTGTGAGAGCCAGACATCTTGCTTGTTTGGAGTGTGACTGTTTGAGGTTGTGGACAGGTGTCTTTTATACTGATAACAAGGTCAAACAGGTGCCATTACTACAGGTAACGAGTGGAGGACAGAGGAGCCTCTTAAAGAAGTAGTTACAGGTCTGTGAGAGCCAGACATCTTGCTTGTTTGGAGTGTGACTGTTTGAGGTTGTGGACAGGTGTCTTTTATACTGATAACAAGGTCAAACAGGTGCCATTACTACAGGTAACGAGTGGAGGACAGAGGAGCCTCTTAAAGAAGTAGTTACAGGTCTGTGAGAGCCAGACATCTTGCTTGTTTGGAGTGTGACTGTTTGAGGTTGTGGACAGGTGTCTTTTATACTGATAACAAGGTCAAACAGGTGCCATTACTACAGGTAACGAGTGGAGGACAGAGGAGCCTCTTAAAGAAGTAGTTACAGGTCTGTGAGAGCCAGACATCTTGCTTGTTTGGAGTGTGACTGTTTGAGGTTGTGGACAGGTGTCTTTTATACTGATAACAAGGTCAAACAGGTGCCATTACTACAGGTAACGAGTGGAGGACAGAGGAGCCTCTTAAAGAAGTAGTTACAGGTCTGTGAGAGCCAGACATCTTGCTTGTTTGGAGTGTGACTGTTTGAGGTTGTGGACAGGTGTCTTTTATACTGATAACAAGGTCAAACAGGTGCCATTACTACAGGTAACGAGTGGAGGACAGAGGAGCCTCTTAAAGAAGTAGTTACAGGTCTGTGAGAGCCAGACATCTTGCTTGTTTGGAGTGTGACTGTTTGAGGTTGTGGACAGGTGTCTTTTATACTGATAACAAGGTCAAACAGGTGCCATTACTACAGGTAACGAGTGGAGGACAGAGGAGCCTCTTAAAGAAGTAGTTACAGGTCTGTGAGAGCCAGACATCTTGCTTGTTTCCCCCCCTTTTGTCTCTCATAGTTGAGGTATACCTATGATGAAAATTACAGGCCTCTCTCATCTTTTTAAGTGGGAGAACTTGCACAATTGGTGGCTGACTAAATACTTTTTTGCCCCACTGTATTTCCAGAGAAAGTCTGGATCTGTTGCAACCCACAGCTTCTGCACTTTCATCGGCTACACTGGGCCAGAGTGCCCCCCAATAAAGCTGGAAGAGGAGTCTGCAAGAGCTTTTCCAAATTCTCAATTAACAGAGTTAAGCTCGTATTTCTAGAGATTGTTTGGGTCTTCAAAGAGAACAGATCTGGTGAAATGATCATATCTTCAGGGGATGTTACAGATGTTGGATGTCTTCAGGGGATGTTGGAGAAGGAATCCTAGCAGTTCTGCTTTTGCAGTCATCTATGGAGGACAGAGGAACCAAGTCAAACTGTGGGCAGCTGTTTCATGCACTGTAGGTAAAGTTTAGCAGAGCCCTGATTATAGCCCACTGTATATGTAAATCTGGGATAAGTTTATAGTTGCAGTTAGACTGCCTGACAATTGACTAGCGTGCTTTTTAATCACAATTCCTGGCTCATGGATAGGGAGTGCCCACACATAATGCTAAGTCATGATTTATAAATCATAATTTATTAAACAAGTCATGATAGCCTGATTTGTACATCACGCTGAAGACGAACAAACTATACTCTGGCTTAAATTTAAGGATGACAGTCCAGAAATCTAAAGAGAGAATCAGCAGAAGAGAGGAGAATGTACACTGGTTCTATGTGTGTATTTGTGTGTGTTTCTTTAATGCAGGCACTCTCAAACATTTCTGGGTAGTTTTGTCTTCAGTGAAATTATTTTGTTATGTTGTGTTGGGTCAAATATGTGAGTTGGTGTAGAGTACTTCTTTCTTGACTCCTTTTCTTGTTCAAACCACTGGTATGTGAGCCTCATGGAAAGAGTACTTACAAGAAAGCTATTCAGTAAACTGATTTACTGTAATGTTTTTGAACAGAACTTATGCCTTGTATTAAAGTGATTGGGCAGGTTACCTTATTTTGGCTTCAACAGTATTATGGCTGAGAAATTAAGTTTTTGTAATGGACCATAAGCAATATAACAGTCATTTGGTAAATAGACAAACCTTTTTCTTGTGTTAACCATTTTGTGAGAGTGCCAAATAAAGCAGAGATTATTACTCAGACTTCATCATCTTTCACCAAATTTCAAATATACTGTTTCCTAAAAGGTATGGGATAACCTGATTTAGTAAATTGCGCTCTCTCTCTCTTTTTTTTTTTAAGCTATTGCCTGCATATTTTTCCAAAGAAGTCTAAAATGTTTTTTGTACTTTTGGTATCAGGTTGATAAAACACAGCAAGTTTCTACTTACCAAGAAGTGATCCGTGGAGAAGGCATATTGCCAGATGGTGGTGAATATAAGCCACCTTCTGAAAATCTGAAAAGCCGAGATTATTATTCAGACTTCCTCATTACTTTGGCAGTTCCCTCTGCAGTTGCACTGGTGCTTTTTCTAATACTTGCTTATATTATGTGCTGCCGGCGAGAAGGAGTGTGAGTACTTTAATGCATTAATACATGACTCTGCATTTTTGTAAAATTATAAGCACGCAAAAAGAATATTAGGTTCAGCTTAATTCAGTTCATAAAAATAGTACTTCATATTTTCTAAAACTTGCAGTAAAATGAAATTGCTACCATTATCTTTTGAGCTAGCAATCTTAATTTGTTAAGAAACTGCAAAACAAGAAATCCATTTTAAAAAAGAAATTTAACATGTCTAATTTGGAATTAAAAGTAGGAAAATGTCTTTCTAATATTAAAATAAACTTTCTTGAGATTGTGAACTGAATTTTAGGATGATAAAAGCTAAAAAAGTATTGTTAGAAAGCAGCAAGCAACATATCATCAAATCCATTTTTTATTGCAGTCATAGACCAGCATAAGGAAGCAACATATTCCTCTTCCATTTTACATGCACATGTTCTGGGGCCTTTTTAGTCCAGCATCTGTCCTGCATATTCATGTCTCTATATCTGTGTTTTTCCTCTTTTTCATTTCTTTCTATGCCTTCACCCATGCCTCCTCATAAACCTGTGGTAAATGCTCCTAAATGACATGAAACAAAGGTCATGATTCAAGCCACTTGTATGAATGCAGAAGCACACAACTGCAGACCTAACTGAAGTGTTCTGTGAAGGGTCGCCACTGCTGGTCCCACAGTTGAAAAGGGACCTTCTGCTTAAGGGCAGCTTGACTGGTGGCGGCTGAAGCTGCTGTGGCAGCTCTTCAGAGGGCCATGCCATTTTCTGGCTGTGTACCTTTTTCTATGGCTTTTTTGGATCATGACCCTGTTGTAATAAAGGCCAGCATTTCCATATCATTCCTTGTTTCCATCAGCGCTTAGAATTAAGGTTCCAAATATCAATGCTATTATTTAATTCATAACTTTTGTTTTATTTTTAGGGAAAAGAGAAACATGCAAACACCAGAGTAAGTGTCTTCTTTCCTGTTATTTTTTCCCCATCATTTAATTTAACCATTTGCTGGATGCTCATCATGCTTCATACATGTATACCATTTTCATTGTCATTACCTTGTCTTCCATTGCCAAGTTAGCTGCTTTGAAAAAATACAGTCATAAGGAATTGAGTAGGTCAAAATAAAAAGGGCTAAAAATTAATAATAAAATAGATTAAAAGCAAAATTTGTAGTTCAGTGTTTTGAAATTACTAACTTTATATCTAAAGGCAGTCTTCCACAACCTGGTGCCTTGCAGATTTGCTGGATTACAGTTCCAGGATTCCTAGCCAGCATCCCCTTGCTAGCTGAGAATTCTGGGGGCTGTAATTCCAACATATATCTAGGGTACCTCATTGGGGAAGGCATTTATAAGATAATTAAAAGACTAAAATTCCATTTTGTGAAAGGAGTACCTTAAATACAAAATGTTCCTTCTTTGAATAACAAAGAAACACTTATCAAACAAAAGCAGTAATATATGAGCTTGATTATGGAATAGACTTCTGAGATTTAATAGCAGGTAGGAGGAACCTCTGTCCCTCATAGTGTTGCCAAATTACAAATTCCAGCAAAATTGGCAGAAGAAAGCTGGGAGCTGTAGTTCAACCTCTGAAAGGCTATATAGATTGCTCACCCATCTAAAACAAGAAGGGGGAATTTGTCCTCTCAGTGTTGCTGAATACATCTCCCAGCATTCCTTACTGTTAGCCATGCTGGCTATGAATGATGGAAACTGTAATTCAGTAACATCTGAAGGACTAGTTTTATAATGTCAATTCTATAGCACAAATAGGCTAAACGGGACATGTAGATTATACTGAATCTATCAAGCTTTTCCCAGAAATAAAAATAAAAGTAAAGCCAAACTAGAAGTGATGTAACCTGTAGGACTGAATTTTAATCCAATGTTCTAAATAATAGCCATGTATTTTTATGATAGCCTTTCATCCCTTTAATTTTCTAGTAAATATTGCTCTTTACCCTAAGAGATGCTGCCATTGGTATCAGTGAAAGTTTCTTTCCTGGAACAAATTTCAGCTGTTTTGTGTAGGAGTGAGATATTAACCATGATGATCAAAAGAGTTAATTCCCCCACACACACTGTATATTGTCCCCCCTTTTTGGTTCTTATGCAGGAAAAAAAAAAGTATGTGCGTGTGTGTGTTGTGTGTGATTTCTTTCCCCCCAAAATAACATTGAGTAATATTTTTGATATAAATCATATATTTTGAATCTATTTGACAGTAATTTGTCAGATTATTTGAAATTATTTTTTTGCAGTACTCATTATGACAAGATCTATTTAAAAAAATGTTTCCTTTTGATCTAGCATTCAGTTGGTCCATCACAACGCAATTCAGAAATCCACAAAAGAACTTCGGGAGATGTCAAAAAACAGAGAGATAGCATGGCCTCTCTCAACACTTCCTGTTTTTCACCCAGTCACTGGTGAGATTGTACCACCTGTTCACCCAGACAGTTATGACAATACTAGCATGCCACTGATGCAAACACAACAGTAAGTATCAACATAGATTGCTTGAACTGAGGCATTTTAATTGAGTTTTGATGGAGATCTGCTGACCTTTTTCATTGCAGAGCTAGTATTAGGATGTTATTTTATAAGACAAAGTCTCCAGCCTAATCGTGGCCTCTACATGCATTGGAACTAAGCTCTTAGAATGTTGGCTGGGGATTCTGGATTTTATTCCCAGCTCCTCTAGAATGTGCAGAAGTTGGGAAAGGCACTTGTAGAACAACTTGGGCTTTGCATATAGAACACATTCTTGTAATTTACTTTTTGTCATATGTTTCCCGTAACAGTAATTTACCATTTTTAAAGAAAATGACTGAATATTATTATCCAGTTAATATGACCTGCAACATTTGGTAGTCTAATTTCATCCGTCTAAGACAGGGCTTGGCAACCTTCTCCATAGGGGCCAGAGGCCATGCCACTGCTGCCATTTTTTGGGGATGTGTTGTTCTGCCCATGCCGAGGCAGCTGGTGAAGCTGTTGCCAGAATGGCTGCCCAAAGAGGTGACAAGTGCTCTCTCCCTCTCTGTAGCAGGTTGAGTGAATATATTATTTTTTAGGACCACAGGCCAGATGATTTCAAGTGGTGGGCTCTCTCTGGCCAGAAGTTGCTGACCCGTGCTTTAAGACAATGTTTATAGTTCAAGAAAAACATACTCCCTCTCAGAGCTAGTTCCAGGGGTGAAAAAAAGATTAAAGAACATATTATTCCTCTTTCTTCCTGTTTTTCCAACATTTCCTTGCAGTATCGTTCAGAATTTCATGATACCAGACTCAGATAAATCATAGATGCAATCAGTAAGTGAACAACAAACTATGATGTCAGACTAGTTAATGTCCTAAAACAAGCCTGATTTATTTACTGACTTGAATTGAGGTAAGCCCCTCCCCACAAACCATAGCACAACAAGGCATTTGTTAATTGTGCATGTTAGTAATGGAGTACAACGTTCAAAGTGAGCACAAGATGGAAAGTGAAATATGATTGAGTGGAAACATATCCCTGAGAACAGAAACTTTAATTATGCTCATCAAACATTTTATATGTAGCATATTAAGCATAAGAGGCAAAGTTGTTCCAAAAGTTTCAGATAATTCAGGACCTTACTGATATATCCAAAATCTGTCCATTGTGAGCTTTGTAAAATAAGAATCAGCTAGGGTAGGTCATTTTTGCCATTCATAGATCTAAAGATTGCTCTAGAGGCAATGGATAAAACTAAATATAAATATATATTATTTTATTCTGCTAAATTCCATCTAGTGTTTTTTTTTTAAACGTTAGTGTAATAAGTCCAGAAATAAAAAGTCTTGTAAAATTGTAAGTTAATAAGCATACGTGATTTATTGATTAGGTGCCATCAAGTTGGTGTTGATTCTTAGGAACCACATAGATTTTCTCTATGACGATCTGTCCCTAACCTGGTCTTTCAGGGCTTCCAAGGGTATACCCATCACCACCATAACTAAGTCCATCCACCTTGCTGCTGATCATCCTCTTCTCTTTCTTTCCACCTTTCCCAGCATTAGAGCCTTCTCCAGAGAGCTAGGTCTTCGCATAATGTGTCTTAAGTAAGATAATTTGAGTCTGGTCATTTGTGCCTCAAGTGGGAAGTCAGGGTTGAATTGTTTGATGACCTATTTGTTTGTTTCTTGGCTGTCCGTGGAATTCTCAGTCTTCTGCAACAGATAGACACAGGTGTTTTTTGTTTAAGTTCCTTATTGTCTACAAGTAGAATGATACTTATCTTAAATATCTAGAGGGAGATTGCTCCTAACTTCAGTGGGAGATGAATGATAGTATTTCATCACTTCTGTTTGTTGAAATACAACTTTTGTTTGTTGAAATTCAACAAAGAGCTCTTCTGGCACCGTAAAGACTAACACATTTGGGGGACATTGATTTTAGGGATTAGATTCTACTGTATTTCATATGATATAAGGTTATTTTGAGTTGGCATATATTGATAATGTATTGATAAAGAGAAAAAATGATGTGTAAATAGTGAACCAAAAGCAATGAAGTGCAACGGATAGCAGGAGGATGATCACAGGATCATAAGATTTCCTGTCTTTTGAAAGAACCATTTTTTTTTTTTGCTTTATAAAAGCAGGTATGATAACTAAATTGACCCAAAATATGATTTTTATAAATCCCAATTTAAAACCATTTACCATGTATGATATAATCTTTTCCATTTGGAGGATTAATTATGATTGCATTAGGTTATTACTCTGAAATATGTCTAACTTCCTTTTAGACATATCATCATTCATTTTCTGCCTTGCAAATGTGTGTGTGTGTGTGTGTCTATGTGTGTGTGTTTGTGTGTATATGTATGTATGTAGAGGGAAACTGCCACTGTAACCACTTATTACTGTGAAAATAAATGCAATATTCTTTTGCTCTTCTTAAATCATTTTTATGGATTCTGAATTACATCACAAAGCAGAGCATTGGCATTTACTGTTTACAAATAGAATAGCATATTAAAAGTTTTTAAAATTATTATTTATAGGAACCTGCCTCATCAGACTCAGATTCCCCAGCAGCAAACAGAAGGTGATTTTTATTTTTTAAGTGAATATAAACTAGCCAGGTTATAAAAAAACAAAGAGGTATGCACAAAATTGAAAATGTGTTTTGTTTTGAAGTCAAACAAAATATTGTGTCCCAGAAGTTTAGTCAACCTGTTTTAGGCTGGCTATAGTTCAGATAAAACAAAATTTGGAAAGAAGTGTTTCTTCCAGGTTTGGTGAAACAAAACGTAAAATAGTTTTGGATGTTCTGTCTCTAGAAAACAATGGGATTCAAAACAAGCCTCTTGTTCTCTGCTGATCTTCTATAGAGATACAGAAAACCCCAGCTTTAGGAGCCATCCAGATTATCATCCTCACAACAGCAGCAACAAGAACAGTAGCAGCAGCAGCAACTAAACTACATTGATGATGGCTTGTTGAGTTTAGCCATGCTTGTGCACTCTGTGCGTGTCCTTTTGTGTTGTTGATTGTGGAGCTTTCAAAATATTTTTGAAGTTGAAGGCACTCACTATATACACAAAGCCTCCAGAATCTCAAAATAAAAGGAACCAAGAATGCACACACATTAAAAACACAGTCACCTAAACAGCAGGTTAACCAAACCAACCTGTACTGGTACTGTTTGTATTTTCATCTCTTGTCTGTGAACATAAGCACTGTAGTGCATGTGCATGCATACACACCTTTAATGCTATTTCAAGCATTACACCAGCTTATCTTTTGAAGGACATGCAACATCAACCCACTAACTTGAAGTCCAACTTCCATATAGAAATCTTTATAAAAAATAGCAGCAGCTTACCTTCTGGACAGTCAGGGCAAAGGCACGATGAGTAGGAAAAACAGTCCTCTTTTTCTTCAGTCTGGGCTGCGTGGTCTGCTGCTGGCCAGAGCATCATCTCTATGCTGCATGTGTTCGTGCTATGGATATCCTGTTTGACCCAAGTGGGTCAGCAGCAGTATCATTGGCCATGCGTGAAGATAAGTGGGCCATGCCAGTGAGTTGAGTAGGGTTGGGAGCTAGGAAAGGTGTAGTGGAGGGAATCTCACTACAGGGACTAGATGGTGCACGGACCAGATAAACTCACATAGACTTTCCTACAATGTAATCCTCAGTGACTGCTCAGAGACTCAATAATCCACATGGATCTCATTTAGTGCACATTTCTCAGGTGATGTGAACCAATATGACTTTCATACTGAGGAAATTAGTGTGGCCCAGGTGAGTTGGTGTCTCAGGGACAAGACTCACCTGAACCAGCCATATCTAGGCAGTGGACAGGCTGCTGGAGAGTAAGGGAAAGGGCTAGCCTTCAGCTGTTCCCCCAGTGACAGGTCAGGGAAGTCCAGCAAGGTGAGATTTATCTTAAGGAAGAGTAGTAGTTTTATCAAGTAATTGTCCAAGCATGAACCACATTAGGTATTACCATGTATCTGCTTTGGAAAATATCCTCCTGCTTGGATTGGTATTTGGTGGGGAAGAAACGTACTGCTAGGCAATCATTGCCGAATCTGGCCAAATCTTGACATTGGATACCTAAAAGTGGAGGAGAGTGTGATTGGGCCTACCAATAAGTATCCCATGAACCAACTAGGTCCTTAACTGCTCTGCTGCTGCTGCTGCTGCTGCTGCTGCTGCTGCTGCTGCTGCTGCTGCTGCTGCTAAAGGAGCCGTGTCTGCTAGATAGTCCAGCCTCATCCTCCTGGCCATGGCCTAGTCTTCTGTCCTTCAGCTGGGCCACTTCTGTAGCCATAACTAGAGAAGACAAATCATTCAAAAGATGTTGGGGACAGCAACATTTTGGAATGTATCCAAATTCAACCAGTCCTGTTCTGAATTCTATCTGCAACAAAACATCTGAAAAGTATGTTTCAATTCACACAGAGCATCCAAAATGGGCTATTGATTGCATGAATGTTTTGTGCAGGAAAGTTTTGCAGATCCCTATTACAGAGCTATTGCAATCTTTTTTTCTTTAATCCACTATTGTATATTTCCTGTACCATCATTCCCAGAGCAGAGTGAGAAGAAATGGGGAGATTTGCATTACTGTTAATTATCAGAATGCATCAAGCAGTTACGTTGATACATATAGAATTGTTGGTTGTTTCTGCCTTCTATCTAAAAATTGCAGGCAGGCAGACAGGCAGGAAGTTAACCTTTGGACGATGCAGAACATGGGGAAAATGTTTTGTTTTGAACCTGGAGGTTCACCTGAACCATTTCAGGTCAGCTATGGCTTGGCAAAGCCAAAACCTGGAACACTTGATTATTCGAGGATTTGGACAACACAAAATCCAGATGGGTCCAGTAAGGTGACATTTGTGCAAATCACTCCCTCTCTTGCCTCTGCAGGTCCCAGTTGTCATATTCCACTCACCCAGCTCCTATCCTTCCTTGCCTGAGCTGCTGCCAATGTCTCACCAGCCCCCATCCCACTAGCACCCACCTTCCTTTCTTTCAGCTGCAGTCAGTGTCCCAATGTAGCATATCCCACAGCCTGCTTACCTTTTTGATCTTCTGAGTGCCTTCCCTTTCCTCCCTCCCCATCTCCTGTGAGTTACTGAAGTTTTGGGCTTTCTACTGGCGCTTCCCTTGGAACAATACAGCCCCACTTCATCCTGTGCATGAAAGAAAACATCTCAGTTTTGGTTTGGGTTAAAGCTATGTGAATCCAGCTGTGTTGTTCAAGTAATGGTTCGTGCAAAACATTTTGCATGTACTTCATAAATGGCAAAAACTAGATCAAAGATTCATTTAAGTGGAAGAAAACCAATTGAGAGTGGCATCTTAAAGAGTAATTTATTCTAAGCTTCTATGAACTACAGTCTACTCCATGGAGCTGATGATGTGCTTGGTAACTGTCAATGTAGGATAATACTTCATGGAGCTGAGAAATCAGTGATATCTTCAAAAACTTATGGTACCGTAAAGCAGTTCATCAGTCTTTGAGGTGCCACAACACTCTAGTTTTTGCTGCAATAGGCTTTCAAAGCCATCCCTCTGGAAATTATGACAGGAATTCATTTAAGCGGGAGGTCTGTATTCAAATTTATTTGTTACTTTTATTACTGCTTTCGGGAACTAAAGGAGAATTTCGCATGACAACATTTCAAAGATTGGAGGCAAGTATTACATTAGTATTGCTTTGCTTTCTACCTGATGAAAAACAGTGATGAAAGAATTTATAGCTCATGTTGCTGATCTAGTTTTCAACAAATGTAGCCAGCATAACTAGTGGTAACAGGTGCTGGGAGTCATAGTCCAGCAACACCTGAGGAGCTAAAAATTCCGTCCTCCATTTTGTCAGTTCTATATTTTGTCTTTACTTCTATACATTCCAAATATTTAGTATTCTAAAGCTTGCTTAGAATGAAGTTCAATATATAGGTTTCTTATTTAAATCTGGTCAAGGTTCATCCCAGATTCTCCTACCTATAATTTAAACCTATATTAAGCTGACTTCTGATCTAATACATTTATGAATTGTCATTTACAGGTAAATGGTATCCCTGAGGAAAGAAAATTTACAGAAGCGATTAATTTGTAATTAAAACAACCAAGACAAGTGTTCATTTCTTTATTTTCTCCAATGACGCATGAATTTTTCTGGTGCATGCCTACCAAATATTCCGATGTCAAGTAGTATCACTTCCATATTGTTACCTGTACTGTATCTTTTTGTACTTCAGATATTTTCAATGAATTTGTAAAATACTAATTTTTATATTTGTGACATTAAAACATTTATAAGACATTCAGCTATTCATTCTTTCAATTGTATTCCATTATGTACAGAAGTACTGTACAAATAAAATGAATGTCAAATCCAGAGTAACTTCTGAATTGTTAATCAAAGTATTACTCATTTTTTTTGTACTGTGTAACAATGTCCAATATTCATATTAAGGTTTTGTTATTGTTATCAAGAAAACTGAAAAGTGAAATTAGAGCATGTTGCATTTTATTTAATGGAGTCGTTTTACAGGAGGTTTTGAACTATGCGTAATTCTTTTTGTGCCATGCTTTTGCATATGGAAATTGTTAAATCAGGAATCTACCAATACCAAGAAATTTCATTAAGCATATATTCTGTTCTTAGCACTAATCTCAGTTCCCTCTGTGCTACTATCCCATACAGTATTTTCAGAATGAAAATTGGTTTCTTCAGCATTACTACTCATTACTCCAGCTATATCTAGTTTAATGAGGAAATGAAGTTATTTTTTAATTGCAATTCATTAAATATTTCTGGTTCTTAATGACATCTCCCCAAATTCAAATATATTACGTATTTTTCTGTTACAGATTCTAAATAAATTGGACGGATTGACTTTGTCCAATAAGATGCTAATGGTAATGCCCCTGGCCAATTTTTTTTTATACACACACACGCATACACACGAACAATGAGGTCCTTCCCCCCAAGCCTAATGACATCCTAGTGACTAAGAAATGTTTTTGTATAATGCATTCTCAGAAACTAGTCTTATTCTCATGGTTTCGCCCTCAACTTTTAAAGATATCTTTTCATACTGATTGTGTTACCTTTTGCCAAAATAAATAGTAACTGAAGCAAACAAGCATCCAAATGCTACCAGAATTTGTTCTGCTGCGTGAAGGACCCTGGGATGGGTGAATTATTATTCCAAAAATTACCAGTGAATGGTGAGGGAGAACTCTCTTACATTCCTTCAGAATGCAGTGATAAAAGAAGGTGGTATTGAAAATGGGTAAGTAGAAGGGAGATGCAAATAATGAAATGGAGGCAGAGGATACCACTATTGATTCAAGGGGATGGATGAGGAAATCAGGATCCACAATCTGGATGTATGGCTGGATAATTCTCTACACATGAAGGGAGAAGAGCAGAATGAAGGTAGCACACTGATGAATAGGACTAGACAACCTAGCTAAACTTAGCTGGAAATTAATAATCACTGAATTCCCAGAATTTTGTACTGCATAAGCATGCATGTTTGTGCTTATTTTTTTTTGTTTTAATCTGTTCTCAGTCGTTACCGACTACTGCAGTGACTGCTTGGACGAGTCCTTGCAGTTTTCAAGGCAAGGGGGTTCGGAGGGGGTT